TAATAAAAGTTTGTTTGTATTTTTCAATTTATCAGCAATAAAAGAATCTGAAGAGTAATCATCAAATGTCAATATTCAACCATGACGGTTACACTGACTTACCTCAATTGTCAGTCGGGCTGGATGATTTTCCAAAAGTAGCTGCTCTGCAATCTCCTGAACTGACTTAATATTTTCTTCCTTTTGATCTAGTTCTCTCATTAATTCCTAATGTAAGAAAGAATGAAGAAGCGAGGTTAGGAAATAGACCTAAACCTGAGACGCAACTTTGGCATTCAAGGACAAAGGCTGTACGTACAGCGTGGTAATCTTTTTTCCGAGCTATGTTGGTATTTCTTTCGCTCCAGTCATAAGCGACTTCCTCCTCTTCTTTTTCATTCAACCAAATAAGTTCATTAGTTGCACGAGTTACAAAATTATGGAGTGTATCAAGGTTCCGTTCCTGATTCCGGGATGTATTCTTTATAAGAAAAATCATTATAAGAATCATGTCTTGACCATATAGAGATAAGGGAAATTCTTAATAAAAGTAAAAAAAAAGTTTAAAAAAACAAACCTTACCAAGAGTTTTGCATACTGACTCTCTAATCGGTGTAACTTTTCAGCATAAGTTAATTTCAGAGGTGCCGTCATTTGAATCTATAATATAGGATAAAAAGACATTGAGGTTAGGGATTTTAAGGAATTCTGACTCATACTCACTGCATCTATTATTCTGTTACAGGGTCTTTATTTAAAAAGAGCAAAACAACAGCAAGCTAAAATGAAATATATACAGATTTTAAATTCATATACCTCACTGATTTTAGCTTCTTTAAGGCTAGATTCAAATTCTTCAATAGCTCGGTGAACATTTTTATGATTTTCTAAATGGCTTTCAACACTTGGCAAATCTGATCCCCACTCAGTGCGGTCCAGCTGCACCTTTAAACAGAAAGATACTAGAGTTAAAAAACAAACTGAGAGCAATAAAGACTGAAACTTTCAGGAAGAATAAACATTCTTTTACCTGCATCTCATCAACCCAATTCAAAAGATCCTGAACAAATTTCATGTTGATTTCCTCTTCTGTTAAATTCTGATCCAGCAAAGAAGACTTCAGAAGGGGCTTTCGGATCTGCATCAACTTCAGAGTTTGCAATGAATTGGTCTCTACTCCTGAACTGAAACTTGGAACTAATCCCCCTGATGGGAAACCAGGTGTATAAGCTGGAGTGACAGATGGAGTCAGGCGGGAAGTCAGACCTGATGACAGGCCTGAGGTCACACTAGAAGGGGTCAGGGAAGGCGTTAAACCCTGGGTCAGCCCTGAGTTCAGACTGGGGTTTAAGGTCTGTGCAAATCCTGAGTTTAAACTTTGAGTAATTCCTGATATCATGAGTTTCGTCTGTTCTGCTGTCAGCATGCGTCCTTTGCTGTACACGGAGGAACATTCATTCCTTAAGGCCATAATTTCATCACGCAGTTTTGCAACCCTGAAAAGAAAATCAAAAGGAATAAACTATAATATAAAAGGCATTTTTCACAAAGAGTGAACCTTAATGCCAACTATGGACATTAGTTAGTTAACAGTAATGTATCAATATTGGCTCAACAGTGGTAACAAATGGATCATACTAATGCAAGATTGTTGGTAACTGGGGAAGGGGGCTAAAAGGGGGCATATGGGAACTCTGTATTTTCCTATTAATTTTTCTGTAAACCTGAACTGTTCAAAAAAGTGGTCTACTAAAAAAAAGTCACCATAATCATATTAATAAAATTTTGCATCACAATTTTTCACTGAACTTTGTACTTAAAGCACTTTCCAGACTATCACAAAGTCTTTATAACCATCACTTATAATGAACATAATTACTACACCATAATGCGATCATTCTCCTATTGTTTGACATGTAGGATATTTCCAAATTTTGGTATTATAAAATATCTCTGACATGAACAAAAAGCTTTTTTTCTATATTTATTTACATATTTTCTATATTTAAAATTATAAATTCCTAAAAGTGAAATTACTAGGTCAAAGCATCATTTACAATTTTTGCTTTATATATCTCATATATATATTTATAACATATATAGTCTACAGCCTGAAAAGGTTCCATCCCTACCCCCAAACCCACTCCTCAGAGATAGAAGCCATATATCTTTTTTCCAACATTTTGTTATAAACATTTCCATAATAGGATAAATAGAAAACTTAAAAATTGAGTTATAAAGGATACTTTCCTTATATTTTCCCTTTTTCAAATGTCATACAAGTATTTTAACTCAACATATGTTAGTTACTACATTATTAAATATTGTATGTACTATAAAATATTTTTCCTATTACTTATCTTTGAAGAAAAAATACCTATTTAACATATCAAAATATATCAGAATTAAGGTGATACACATTTTCAGCTGAAAAGAGCATAAGAAATACATTTCATAAAACTGCCACACTCTCCATTCCCATCACAAGTGTCCACGAAGCAATTCCCCAGAAGGACAGAGTACGAATAAGCAGGACTCCTACCTCTGTACCAGCTGATCTGCCTGGTAGTATTTTCCATCAATGAGAATCTGTACATCAATTACATGCTGGCGTAAAAGGTTCTCACATTCAAGTATATACCCGGCAATTTCTGCTTCATTCTGAAACTGCACTCCTGATTCTAATCTTTTAGAATCCTGTGTTTTAAAAGAACTCAACATTAATTCCAAGAAATAAGTTTCAAAACTAGCCTCAAATATAAAACTCAAAATACTGGACTGCAAAGCTACTCGGGTCTTTCTCTGTTTTCCCTTTTGGTTCAAAAATATGTTTTCTCTTGCGCACTGTTCAAGAGAGCAAACAGTGATCGTAATCTTTAACAAGCTTTAAGTATCAGTAGAAGACAATACCAACAATCAACCAAATGTTATACAAAAGTTTTAGTTCATCCAAAGGTACAGACCCCTCCACCACAATCCCAATGGCTCCTAAAATTAACTTACAGACTGGAGAGCATTTCGGGCAAGTATCAGTTTGTCTTCACAGATGACACTGTCCCTTTGAACTCGGTTGGCAATCTGCTGCAACATTTCCAACCTAAAAGAAGAGACAGAATAAATGAAAGCCTCTCCCTTTGAAGTCACAGGATTTACCACCCCTGAAAAATGCCTCCCCGCCAAAAAGTAAAACAATCCTACAACAAGGACTCAATACCTGTGTCCATCAAGGGACTCATTGCCGAAGCTAATGCAGGAGTTGATCAGTGTTGGGCCACAATTAACTGAGAGAAAGTTTTCATTGGAATCCAGACTAGTCCGGGTGCTAGTAGTGTTACTAAACACAGAATCGCTGCTTCGGTAGCTGTAACTACTACTGTGCATTTTTAGTCCTGAAACGATGTTCCTTCTTTGACCATTCCAAGCAGACGAAAAAGTACAAGGTCCGCTAAAAGCTTTACTTCTAACGGTGAAAAGCGGCAGCTAAATGTCACAGCCGTAATGGCTCCTTAAATATGCTCCAACCTGCATACTTAACACGCAGCAAATAATATGCTGATAACTATTCAAAAGAATCTCGCCTAAAGCCATGCGTTTGTTAGCTGAGGTTTGCCTTTTGTAGCCCGCATTATACCTCTACAAGTACAGACAAGGCAGGCTGATCAGGGCGTCACTGGAAAAGATTTGCCAAATATTTTCATCAAGAGTCATCCCATTGCAGCCACCTAAAAAACAACTCAGATGCCTCCCTGAAGCCCAGGTACAATTAGTAAAGGCTGTTCAGGCAATACCAATCATCAGCTTAAAAACACAAATATTCAATCACAGCCTGACCTTTGTAAAGGGCCAGGTCTGTCCTGAGTAACACAAGGCTAAAAACTGGTACTTAGAAGCACCTATAAACAAACGAGTTTCATGAGAAACAAAGTTCATTTCCATTTTAACCGCCATGTCATTTATCAGGTTAAATTAACTAGAAAAGTAGCCATTGGCCTTTCTTTATATGACATGTTCTCAGGAATGATTTCCTCTAATCTTACCATAGTCACTTTATATTTTTTAAAAAGCCAAAGTGCTAAGTAGAATATCAATGCAAAGCTTGCAAATTCAACTTGTCTGTGCTTGTTTTTCCTTTCGATAGGTTATTACATGGCAAAAGAACATTGGTTCTTTCTCATTTATCTTTTACACATTCCCATGCCACATAGTTATTATTTGCAATTAACCGTTAATGCCAAAAAGCTTGTTGCATCAAGAAAAATGAAGGCATTTATCCAACCAAGCTCATTGAACATTTTATCGTACTCCCAAAACTACAGAGCCAAACTGTGGCTTCTCCACTCTAAAGGTAGATATTTTTTCTTTTCACATGGCAGGAAAGGGGAAATTTCAGAGTATCCTGTCAAATACAGTTAGTAACCAGAGAAGCATGAAATAATAACAGCAGCACTAGCATTTACTAAGCAATTATTATGTGCCAGGAAATAAACTGATCATTTTACATGCATGACCTCATCTCATACTCAACCACCAAGTGTGGTAGGTAGTATTACAGTCTGTTTACAAATGAGGAAACTGAGGCTCAGGGAAGTCAATGAACTTGTCGAAGATTACATGACTTGCAAGTTGAGCTAAAAATCTAATCCAGGACTGACTAGCTCCTGGACCTTGAACTCTTGACCACTCCATTAAAATCGGGCTACTATTCTGACAACTAAAAATCTACTCCCTATCCTTTCTCACACATACTTTTCCATTACTTCTGATGATTAGCTTAGCGTGTAATTTTAATCACCCAAAATTATCTCCTCCATAAAAGGTCCATCCTGGGTATTTCAAGCTCATTTTGGATCTAGATCTAGTTATGCAGACAGAATATTACACTTCAACAGGAATATAATCAGTAATTAATAAACGACTGACAAGTTAAGACTTGCTCTCGCATCTTCAATGCATTATTTCCTATTTCAACAGTGTGGAAACTCATGTGTGGGGCACAAAGAACATGAGTATACTAAGTGCCTCTATGTGTCCCAGGCACTGCACTGAGCACTGGCAACACGAAAGACAGCAAAAACAAGTCTGTCTCCATGTTCTTGGAGCTCGTAACTGTGAACAGGCAGCCCTTAATCAAACGATCACAGAAATACATATAAAATTACAACTGAGATATGAAGGAACAGTACATGTAAATAGGAGAGTTATAACCAAGACATCTGAACCAGGCTGGGAGACCACAGGAAGTTTCTTGAGGAAGTAACACTGGAGCCGGGATCTGAGATTTATCAGGAGTGAAGAGAGACAGGGAGGATGAAGGAGAGCTCCCTGCCAAAGGAACAGATGGTGCACAGATCCTGTGTATGGAGGAGGGCGGGACCTTGGCACATCAGGGCTCCTGAGAGACAGTGTGGCTACACCAGAGAGAGCAAGGACGGTGTGAGGCGGCCAGAGAGGGGTGCCTGACCACACAGGCCTTGTAGTGGGAGGCCCAGCTCCTAGGGAGCTCACAGCTCATGAGGAAGAGAGATCACAATTCCCTTCCCAAGTGCCGAAGTCAGGCTGTGAGGTAAGTACTGTAATGGAGACAAATCCATTCCACAAACGTCTCCTAACGACTAAGCAGTGTTTTCCCAGGCAACTGGGTGGAGTGGGAGAGAGAATGATAGAGTCAGTGATGATTTCATGGAATAAATGCATTTGTAGAAGTGGGAATTTGAACCATTTCCTGAGTGTTTTCTAGATGCCACTTCACTGCCCTCTAAGTGGAGACAGACTAGACTCTTATTTCCATTGCCCCATGGAAAGAGGGCCATAGCAAAAATACAGCAAGAAACAAAATAAGTTAACTGTTGACCTACATATCAGCCTCTGGACCCAGGCCCTGATGACTTTGAAGCCAGCATGGGAAATTCTCACAGGTAATTTAGATTATTAGATGAGACTTCACACACCAACCCAGCCTATCAGGTCCCTATTTAAACATTACTTCACTGATTACTCCTCAAACCTCTTGGAAGAGTTTCTAGATAAGAAAATGAATCAGAAAGACTAAGTGACTTATCCAGGGTCACACAGCCTAGGACAAGAAAAATATAAATGTTGGTCCGAGGTCTGCCTGGCTCCAAAACTTAAGTCCCTTCCATGAGAACAAAGAGTCACCTCCCCACGCCCAGCCTGATATCCACAGCAGAAAACACCTACAGCCTACCTTTCTACTTCTGGGCGAAGTGCCTTCTCCCTCTCAAGCATGGCAATAATAAGTTTTCCCCACTCTTTCTCTATGTCATTTGGATGATAACCTTGAAGTAGTTTGATACGTCCAAATTCTATCCAAATCTTGAGAAAACAAAAAAATTTAATATGAAGCAATGATATAAAAAAAATAAGGATTATGCTTGACAATACAAAGAAAATTTCTGCTTACCTCTAGTAACTTATATAGGCGTTTAATTTTTGATTTTTCTGTCTCCTTTGGTGGAATTTCTGTTTCTTTAAACTGTAAATACTGATTATAAAGTGCCTAAAATGAAAGGGAAAATAAATGAAGGCCCAAACTTCAAAGACCTATTTTCATTACCACGTAACGTTACCACTTCAAATGCTATTTACTGTGTCATATGCATTCAGTGGAATTTCTTTATAAAACTGACACTCAAGGACAATACTGATTCCCAGCTAGTCAGTGACTAGGTTACAGTATGCAAGATTTGACAAGGGTGTAATTACTGATGTGAGCCATGATTCAACATATGCCATGCAGGGATCTGGATAATAATAAACCATGGCAGTGTTTAGTAGGGCTCTACTAAAAATCTCTCAACATACAAACAAGAAAACATATCCTTTGAAAGATGCACTTTCCAAACGTTGCACTTTAGCTTTGAGTTTTTGGAAAAATAATCTGATGCAATTCCTATAAAGGAAAAAAGTGTTCTCTTCTGTATCATGGATCTATCCTTGAAAATAGAATTCTTATCACATAGCTAAACGTTGGTTTCAATGTCCCATTGGCCAAGTTAAACATATTTTAATAAACAAATATAGATGCTATTGACTGCTGCTATTATTATAGAAGTTTCAACCATGTAATTAAATTATCTGGTTCATAGATACTAATTTGAAAATCTCTTAAATAACTTAGTATATTAAAAAGGACCTTCATAAAATTATGTAGATAAAACATACCCACATTTATTAAGTACATACTAATTATCTCATTTTAATTCATGCTGTTATTTAAAAAAATTCCCTGTAAAGCCTCAGGCAGTCACATATTCTGAAGGATTCCATTCAACGTTTTGCTGGCTAATGAAATTATTGGCATTCCCCATGATGTTTTCTTCCGTGTATTATGTGCTGTCCTAGGCACCAGCAAGTAATCTGTCTAGTCCTCAAACTTCTTCCAAAACTTTAAGAATTTGCATTCATCAGAAGCCAGTACAAATTTACCCAAGTGTCTGGACAATAAGAATCCGTCTGGAAATAAGCTGAACTTGAAATCTGAAAACTGTTTTGAACTCAAAATGCAGTGTTTCAGGACGTCCATTAGAAAATAAGTACATAATGCCATTATGTGCTACACACCACGCCTGGTGGCTAGGGTGAACAAAGGGGGAAATATTCCTGGCCCTGGAGAGGTTTGCATCCACATAGGGAGACATCACACAAACAACTTTAGAACACTTAAAAAGCATCATATCGACACATGCCAAGAACTTCATGCCAAGGACAAACTCTCCATGGCAATGTGAATAAAAACTGTTAAACAGATATTCTGTACAGATGCATGAAGAACAATGAATAACTTTAGCAGGATCCACCCTGGGTTATTACAGTTCTTGCAATTCTAGTTTGATACATATATATTAAAAAAAAAGCCTATCATTCAAGGAATTAGACTTGTTAATATTCACATTATCAGTTTTTTGAAATAAAGCAGATGACTTTGTTATTACAAGTCAAAATATACAAAACGAGATGATATTCTTCAGTAAGTGCACATATCTATAATTCTTTTATATTTCTATAATGTCTTTGCCTCAAAGAGGTGGACCTGTTTTTAGGTAGTAGTAAATGTTTTACTAATGAATTCATTTATACTGGAAGTCAGGTGTATATTTTTTATTCCATGGTGAAATAGAGTATACACCTCTTGCTATACAAAATGAAGCCTCCGAAGCAGTTTTTAACAGGGTTCCACCACAGGCACATTCCCAACCACTGTTAAACTTGTCCCAGCTTCCCAGAGACAACCCCTGCCTCAGCCATCTATCTGGTAGGCTCCAGGCATTCCCCATGCACCAAAAACACTTCTGCCATGTCAGTTCCAGGGTCTCTCAAATTATATCTTATCACTCTCAACAATTCAAAACTAAGGGACTATAAATCTCTAAGATGTTGCTGCTGTTATGTTTTAATTATTAACATTTACCTCCATTTTCTCTGAATAGGAGATGAATAAATTTAAAAATTGCTTATTTACTAGTGGCTTCCCAAGGGCAATTTTTCTTGAACTTCTGGAATTATTATAAGATTATTTAGAAGTTTAATAATCAGGGCGCCTGGGTGGCTCAGTTGGTTAAGCATCTGACTCCTGATTTCGGCTCAGGTCATGATCTCAGGGTCATGGGATCAAGCCCTGCGTCCAACTCCATGCTTAGCACAGAGTCTGTTTAAGATTCTCTCTCTCCCCCTCTGCCCCCGTCCCACTCACATGCTCTCTAAAAAAAATAAAATAAAATAAAATAAAAGTATTTTTTAAAAAAAGTTTAATAATCAACTCAATCCTTCATAACTTCTATAGTGACACAGACCTTTAGTTCCACAGGATTATTAGGAAATGTTCTCTCAGACATTGTGGTCACATGGTGTCTAATCCACTGAATGAGGTAGTTCACCATATTCTGGTATTCAATCCATTTGACTTCAACATCCTGAAACAATAAAATGACAGAAAAGATCCATATCTGCAGATAGTAACATTCAAATCTAACACAACTTAGTCAGAGGTCATTCTGTGAATTTATGTCTTTAAGCCGACAGTCGGAACCAACTCAATGTCTTCTCACTTTCTACCTAGTCCCACATAAACAGCTTTAAAAACATGTTAGCAACATTTGACAACGAAGAGTAGCCTAATGAGTGCTACTTCTGATCTAGAGATAGTGGCTGCCTGGGCTAGTGTTAAGAAGGCTCCTGAGGCTGCATCCAAATGCAGCAGGAAAAAACACTGCGATCATTTTGGGGTGTTTTCCAGGCACCCAGGAAGAGGGAGTAATAGGGGCACCTGGGTGGCTCAGTCGCTAAGCCTTCGGCTCAGGTCGTGATCCCGGGATGGAGCCCCACATCGGGCTCCCTGCTCAGCAGAGAGACTGCTTCTCCCTCTCCCACTCCCCCTGCTTGTGTTCCCTCTCCCGCTGTCCCTCTCTCTGTCAAATAAATAAATAAAATCTTTAAAAAAAAAAAAAAAAGAGAGAAAATAATAGCATCTACAAGTCAGGTTAGCTGTCACTGTCTGCCAACATTTCTAGATCAAAATCCACTGTCTACCTGAAACTCAAAGATCTATACACTATGTAGGAAAGTAAGTAGGAATGAAAACTATAGGAAATGTATACGATTGGATTACTCATTAAACAAACTTTAAAAATGGAGGAAACTGGAAGGCTGTCACCTGCTATATTCAATTAAGTATCTGATGAGTGCTTATTATGTTCAAAGCATTGTGCCAAGTGTTGCAATAGGAATTTAATACTTTAAGAAATAATACCTTTTATCAAAGAGTCACCGTCTAGTTGGGGAGGCAAGAGATTCATAATATAAACAGTTAATCAAAATGAAAAGCAGTATTTAATTAAGTGTTGAAATACCTGAAACAGGTAATATATGCTAAGGGTTGAGATAATAATCGGGTAAGCTTAAATGTGCCTCAGAAAGGTCACCAACGGATTCTCGGGAAAGGCAGTCCCTGAGCAGTTCTGCAACAACCAGTAAGTAATTCTTTGGTGGGTAGGGGGAGGATAAAAGATAGGGAGTCCCAAGTAAGTCACGATTCTGAACTAGAAATGCCCTGGCTACCAGCAAACAGTCTGTGTTGAAAGACTAAAGCTAAAAAAGTAGGTAAGCAAATTAATATATGCAGAATTTTTTTGAAAGATTCTACTTATGTATTTGACAGAGAGAGAGAGCAAGCACAAGCAGGGGGAGCTGCAGAAAGAGGGAGAAGCAGGCTCCCCACTGAGCAGGGAGGCTGATGTGGGACTCCATCCCAGGACCCTGGGATCATGACCTGATCCAAACGCAGACACTTAACTGACTGAGCCACCCAGGTGCCCCAGTATATGCAGATTTTTGAATGTCAGAATATCTAGACTGGATTTCACCTTACAAGCCCCATATAATCACTGAAGGTTTTCAAGCTAAAGACATCAGATTTTAGGAAGATCAATTTGGTGACAATGTGCAGTATTGTTGGGAAGAGAAAAACAATGGAGATGGAAAAGTATAAAAAAGCTGTCGTCCTAGTTCTAGTGTGAAGGGGTAAGAGTCAGGAACAGGGTGGAGGGAGTGAGAAGGTAAGACAAGTAATGGCCCTAAGAAACAGTCTCAAGCAACGCTCGACAAGGACGTGCTGGCAGACATCACAGCAGAGGAGGAGCATGGGAGCAAGTTACGCAGGGGTCAGGAGAGGAAAAACAGCTCTGAGAGAAAGAACAAGACAAAGAGAATGGAAATAAATGTAGAAACAAGAGCACACAGAGGTGAGAAAGAGACTAGAAGAGAGAGCTCACCAAGATAGGCTCCAAAATCTTCAAAATAAAATAGAAAAAAAAGGAATCTGGGAGAAGAAGGGGAGAAGCCCAGGGTGAAGAGGCTCATCCTCAAATTCATAACCTCTGCAGGGTTTCCTGTTCTCTTCCAGAAATACCTAAATACATGTTCGTATAACCACTACAACACGCATGGTTGAACCGAATCACACAAATCTCTAGGAAACAGTGGACTAATGAGGAGCCCAAAGCTTCCCGTACCGGACACCTCACCCTGCTTACGAAGTAGCTCTCATAGTTTGGCAAAGTCAAATAACCTTCCTCTAAATATCACCTTTAAATCAGAAAAAAGAATTCCTAGCCAACTTATTTCATGAGATTATGAGAGTTGATAACATTGAAAGTGATTTCAGAAGTGAGATATTCTACAATATGCAGAAGGATATCAAACACTGCAAATGTAAAACAGCAGCAAGTTAAAAATGAAAAACTCCAAAATTCAGTGGTTTAGAGCTTTCATCTATAAAAGGATATGTAATTCAAAATGGCCTACTTTATTTATGACAAAGAACAAATTTTTTTTTTGAGTTATGCTTTAATTGTTATGATGGAATACTGTCATGAAAATGCAAACAGGACTGGTTTATTAAACAGCATCTTAACTCAAATTCTTTAAAGAATATTTGATATTGGGATGCCTGGGTGGCTCAGTCAGTTAAGTGTCTGCCTTCGGATCAGGTCATGATCCCCAGGGTCCTGGAATCGAGTCCCACATGGGGCTCCCTCCTCAGCAGGGAGTCTGCTTCTCCGTCTGCCCCTCCCCCTGCTCGTGCTCCCTCTCTCTCTCTCAAATAAATAAATAAAATCTTTTAAAAAAAAGAATATTTCATATTTACTGTAAAAAGCTTTATCAAAGAGTTCAGTCAACTGGTCATTACTGAATCAGCAGCTCCTAGTAGGAAAAAACCAATACTCACATTTGCACCAATACCTTCACCACCTTCAGGGACTTTGGGAAATGCATCATAGAGAGATGACACGTAAGTTATTACTGATTTTTCATCAGGTGAGGAGACATCAACATCTATAAGCAACAACATAAATTATTTCAAAATGTTGATAGATTACTTTTGATCAGACTCTCATGCCAGTCTACATCTAGTCAGGACAACAACTCACCTTCAGGATCCAGAAGTCTTATAACACCAATTTTTTCTGCTACATAAAAAGCGTGCTCTAAATTTGCAAGGTTGCTTTGAACAGCAACAGTATTCATGTCTATCAGGTCCGGCCTAGGAAAAAATTCACCATAATTAATTAACTTTTCTCACGTGCCAATTCAACATTACACTTACGTGTTGACCTATTTACATAACATTTCGGCAAATATTAATACTAAGCCTGGGTTGAAATACAGAGATTTTCATCAAATATTTAACACTGCTGACCTCTCTCAGAAACTTGTGGATGCCAAAACCAAGTGCAGTGAGGAAATTATAAAAATAGAATGTATATAACTTTTGACAAAGTCTAAGAATTCCCATCATCAAAATATGTATGAATATCTGTCCCACTCAACTTATTTAAGCTCTACTATTCCAAAAGCATCCTTCTAATCCAGCTAGCATCCTCTCAATGTTTCTCCCCAAACACAAAGGTTTATGCTTTAGTTCAATGCCTCATCATGGCATCCACCATCCAATGGACAGGATGCCATTTCCTGTCATTGTTGTTTTATCACTATTCACTCATCTTTGTAAGCAGAGATCAAGCCCTACCTCCTTTGTGGAGTCCTCACTAATCTTCCCCACCCTCATTTTTCTCTCTGTTCCCTGAATTCCTTATACTCCTGGCCCTGTGCTCGTCAATTCGGCATTTAGAATTATCACATACTTCCCTGCCCTATTCACCCACTGTTTAATGCGCATGCGTATCTTGCTTCTCACAACTAGCCAACTCTCAGTCAGCAAGAACCATGTATTCATAAACTTGTATTTTATCCTTCTGCTGAGACAAAGAGTGGCATAGAATTAGCAGACAATATATATCTATAGATAAGCTGGTAAGCAGGTTGGTTAATTCTGATTCATAAATGAAAGACTAAAATAAGCACTAGTTTATATCTTCACAAGATTGCATATGCGCATGCCTGTGTACACGCATGCATTCACACACACATGCGCACACCCACACACATTCTCATACACCAGACTTCAACTCTTTCTAATTTGTGAAACTTCCATGATACTCTAAACCACAGGGATACTCTAAAGATAGCAGATACTTTAAAGACAGGAGAAGACTTCCAAATACTCCTTGTAGAGAAAGCGGCAAAATAGGTTGGTTGGAAACTTAACACAAGGCCAAAAGCCAGTCAGGAAATATTCATCTCAAAGCCAAAGCATTAAAAGAATGCAAAAACAGATATGGAAACTGTAAAATTCAGAAAGAGTGGTCCCCACCCCAAAATCACTGAGTAAGAACCAGCTCATCAAGTTCTAAGGACAGCTCTCAGCAAAGTCCACAGACATCTGGTTCGCTCAAAACAATCATTTGGGAACTGCACAAAGAGTGGGAGGACTCCGAGGTCATGGGGGAGGGCTAAAATGCAAATTATTTTGAATACTACTTGGAAAGCTGTTCACATGAAAAAGTCTTTGAAAATGTATTATTAATCTTAGGAAGGTAAGCAGCAATTTGTAGTCTTCTTTTATCTGCTGAGAAAGCAGACCTCCAAAGAAATCTATTTATAGTTTTATAGCACTTTGAAAAGTGCGCATAACCTTGAAATGTAACTGCCATGACCTACCTACCTATTTCCTGGGAAATTATTAGGAAATTCATTAATGTCTTTCATAGGCACCAGTATGATCACTTAAAAGTAATTCTACATTTATTATAGGACCAATAAATCTACTGACAGCAATAGAGGTAAATGGCATACCTCTAAAAACAACGTTTTTTATTCACACAGAAGCATTCTGAAGAATCTGCCAACTTCAAGATTACTAAACAGGTGAATATAAGTCTAGACAAAAACAAATATCTAAAGTTCAAAAAACCGTTTTGCTTCTGTAAAGTTCACACATTTTGAAGAAATAAAAACCAGCCTTTCCGCGTTTATCAAACCTCCCAACAAGAAAGGGCTCGTTGTTCTAAGAATCCTGCCATTAGCAAGAACGTAAACACTGAGTAATCCCAGAGGGAATGAATAAAGTCATTGAAGAATCAAGTTTTTGACTAGGAGAATAAAACACAAAACTTCCTTCAGAATGACACAGTCCCTTCAGTACAAAGGCAGCTGTATAATACACTGAGTTTGGATAAGTCACCTCTTTTATCGCGACATTTAACACTTTAAGGGAACAAAAACCGAAGCGGTGTTCCTCTATGAAACAGTAGACAAAATTCAGCAAAAGGAAAAAAGAAAAAAACTGTAAAACCACTATGAAAAACAGCCTGAAAGCTTTCAAAATTCTGTCCCTCCTCAGGCTCATCTCCTAGGCATTCGGTCATTTTCAGTCTCTCTGCCTTTCCACTCTGTGCTCAGAGCTTCCGGGAGGAGGCTTGTGCTGTGACCTGTCTCTACTTTCCTTCTCCCTTACAGTCCCACTGGGATCATGTCACCTTTAAAAACTTCAGCTATTTTCCACCTACAGAAGGTTTGTATTTTCATTCGAAAGGTTTTATTTCAGTTTAAGATCTCCTTTTTGTGGAACTTTAATAGGAAATTTCATTCCCATTTTTAGGTCTGCCTAACCAAAGTCTATTACTGCAAACGTGTACAAGGCGGCACCCAGGTTCCTGTAATGCATTAATCATTCTAATTTCCCTATTTTCTGAAAACCTTTCAAAATCATATATTGAAAACACTCTGCCACTGAAAGTAATAGATATTAGTCTTTTATGGGAAAAGGGCCATTCTAACTCTTAACTTGTGTTAGTATTCTATAATATAAGCTTTCCTGAATGACTCAATCTTCATAGATAACAATTTTTTAAAACATACATCTATATCCTACCTTTCTTGCCTAAATGATTCAGAAGAGCTTACAAAGAAAAACACAAGAAGATAACATAAATTCTAGTGCAAGTATAAAACCAGGATAAGGCCAAAGGTGAAAACTAAAAGTAAGGCCAAAAAGTGCAAACTACTTATATGCTTCGTGCCCTTAATTTATTTCAAAAATATAGGGCCAAACGTATTAAAGTGGCTACTGCCATAATACAAAATAATTTTGGATAAAAGTAATGTTTATCTTTCATACAACACCAATGTTGAAAGAGTATTCTCTCTAGACAAAAAAATATATACAATAGACTACACACACACAACCTACATACATACAAAACTACATGCATATACACATGTATATGTGTATGGGCATTTAGGTATATATAGGTATGTGTGTGGATATATATATTACTTATTAACATATATATTAATATATTTATATACGTTACCACCCGCACTGACAGCCAAACTAACAGAACATGAAAACCGTGGAAGATATTTTTTGGTACAGACACCCCAAAGTAACTTTCCAGTCCCCAAGTACTTTATTAACATATTAGCTCGCATGAGAATTAGATAGGATTCTGAGAGAAATTTTTATGTACACAATGTTATAAATGGCTGAAGATTAGCTCAAGAAACTACCTAAGGCTTCCACGTTATATCATGCCAACACTGAAATGTTCAACTACAAGGAACATGAAACAACATCAAAATACTTGGAAAGAAAGTACTTAGAAATGGCCATTGGAACATACTTGAGGGGACACTGATAAAAGTTAGCTAAGAGTGCATTAGTGCAGATAAAAGATTAACAAATTCTGAACCAAAAATGTGATAATGGCTGAAAGGACAAATTTAATAGCAATAGTCAAAGTCCAAATCAGGATGTTTTTTCAAAGTATGCAAAATTTATTTAAATTCATAGAGTTTATTTGGTTGTGTTGGCTCTCAACTGACACTCAATAATTATTTATCATGTGGCTACAGACCCAAGTTTTGGCTACCCAGGATCTGAACACTCTTCCTATGTTTGGGAAATTTTCCGTTTTAGGAATCATGAGAGTAAGAGAGGAGCAGAGTCCTTTTCCCAAAACAAAACAAAAACACATCAGGTTTTCTTTTTGTCTCTGCCCTTTGCTCAAGAAATAAATGTCCACTGCATACCTCACCCCCCTACATGACACTAGCTGATCAACTCCTATTCTTCCTATAAGACCTGGCTTTCTCTGTTCTCAAATGCTGTCTACTATCTTTATTTCTGTATTTACTACAATTTGTTATAACTATGCACGTGTCCGTCTCTCACAATGGACAGTGGGCTGCCTAAAGGCAGAGGCTGTGTTTTATCCATGTTTAGAGCTTCAATATCTAGTATAAAGCTCAGCACATGAATCTCTGAGAAATGGATAAGTAATAAAGAAATGAAAGAGCTTGGAAGGCTGGAAGGTACCATCTGATACCACTGATTCAAATTCCTGGAGACATTTTCCATCTCAGATTTGTTTCTTTTCTTTCCTTTTCTTTGCGTTAATTTCTATGGGCAAAGCTACCACCCATAGCTTCCAATCAGGATTTCAAATCCTTATGAAAATCCACATGGAATAGGACACGATGTCATAGCTTCTCCGTGAACTAAACACACCCTTTTGAGGTTTCCTAAGGGCCTTTCTCTGCTGAAAACAATCTGGAAAACAGGCATGAACTGAAAACAACCAGTAAGGGATAAATTATAAAGTTTCAAAAAGCATAAATTACTGCTTCTAGGTGTGAGTCCTCCCTTCTAATGCTCTCATGTGCCCTCAACTTCAGCTACTAGTAAAGTTGCCAGTTGGAATGTCTTATAAAATAACAATAAACAACAGGGATTAGTATATATTGGTAACTATTATGTGGCAGGCAATGCAGTGAAGGCCTCGAAGGCATTATCTCACTCAATCTCCTCAACAGCCCTAACCAGTAGGCTATGTTATCATCCTGAATTTACAGATGAAAAAATTTAAGATTACACAACTTAAACAGGAACACAATCTGACAAGGGGCAGTCAGCATTTGAACCCAGGAGTGTCTCAGTACAACACCTGAGCAATTTGCTGCACTATGCTGGCGTTATAAACTGAAAACATCCGATATGAAGCTGAAAAATCAAGATAAAGAAAACACAGAAGAATGTATGCTTCTGCTGGTGGGGAAAGTGATACGGATAATGGTTGTAATACAAGAACCACAAGGGAGTGTGTGTGTCAGTGTGTGTACCGGCATGCTCTGGAAAATAAA